GATTGAAAAACCAATATATATATATATATATATATATATTATAGCACCAAATCATGCCAATTACCGTAAGTTTTTTGTTATTTTTATTATTATTAGTATTTTTTTTTTCTTTAAGTGGTTTGTGCAAGCTTTTTCAACGATATCCCATAAATGCACGACACTGGAACTCCCAATGCTCCTTTGCTTGTTTAATTCTCTCTTTTCTTTCTCTTTGAAACCGTTCTCCCCAGTACTCTGGCAAGCTGCCATAAAACAAAATGAAGTTAGTCAACAATATAATTGCATATGAATTTATTTGACTCATGCCTAAAATATGCAGCCACGTAATAAGATTGATACATGTAAGCTAATTAATAATAGTAGGTATATAATGAGCAGTACTATTTAGCGACTATGATCTCATCAGTTAAAACAACATTTTTTATATATATATATATAGATATATTTATATATATTTACCAGTATTTTTAAAATTAGGGTATTTTTCAAAAATATTGGTGAATATATAAGATTTACCTTCGGCTCAGAAGCATGCTCAACTCATCCAAGTGCACAGCACCTTCAAAGACCCCTACCTGAAATTTCATTTTAATTTAGTGACCGGCCGTAATAGTGTTAAACATCTTTTTTTGCTGGAAGATACTAATTTTAATATCATGTGAAGTAATATTGATTCTTTCTCACTTCAAATTTGTATATTAAGGTGACGTTTAATTCATGGATTCAAAATCATGATTTATGATTCTAATTTTTAAAATTCAAATTTTTTGTGAGAGAAAAACACGGTAACAGAACCAAGAACCATGATCCTAAACCAGACAGAACCCTTTAAACAAACGTCACATAAGTGTATATAAAGGAACTTTAACATTAAGAACTATCCTTTTTTCACTACTCTTAAAAACTGTTGTTTTAAATATTGGATTAATTTTTTAACGGTGTAATTTGTAAGTGTTCACATTAAAAGTTTACAAAGACACAAAAGTGCTCTTAATCATTAATTAGACCATTATTAATCAAATGACTAAAAACGATAATTCCTATGTACCAGTAATGAAAAAGAACAATTCCTGCCCTAAAACTTCACTATATATATAATTGGAAGATGTGTTTTGTCTTTGGGTCTGCTGAGTGGAAGAGCAAGACAACTTTTTCAGCTTAAATTCTCATGATCTAATAGTAAACATATAGTCTATATATATATATATATGATAAATCAAGACATACTTGACGGCAGATAGGACATTTGGATCTAGGATCAGCATTCTTTAGTCCATCAACGATGGTAACTGATGCAACCGAACAAGCACACATATAGCAGAAGACATGGCTGCATGAAAGAGAAACTGGATCGAACACTGTTTCCTGCGTCATTTAATTGATACATCTATATATATTATTCCATGAACTTAATCCAGTAACGTATATATTTGAGAATTTGTTCTTGTACCATCTATATTTTAATTTGTTATAGTAAAAATAATATTTTTTATCCATATATATATATATACACACTTATTGCGGAAAGTCACTCACCAAGCAAACTGGACAAGTCAACTCCAAATTCAGGCTTATGGAGTCGAAAAGAGTTACTAAAAGATATGGTTTTTCACCATCAATATGAAGGAGGCAATCGGACAAAAGGGGAAACAAATAATTATTCTTGCTTTCTTCCTTGTTTTCGTTTAGGTTATTCATATGAAATGCCATCAGCTCAAAAAGATAAGGGGATTTCAGGAGATTCATATGCTTGGCTTGAGCTTCTAGTCTAAACTCTTGTCCTTTCATAGAGCAATGAACCTGCAGTTTTTCACCATCGATTAATATGCAAAAATATATATGCTAAATTAGTGTTCGAAATTTTCCACTACTACAAATTATACATTACATGACCCGTATTTATAATTAACAGCCGTTTATTTAAAAACGGTCATTAAAACAATAAATGTCGCTCAAAAAGATTCCATTTAGATAGATGCATATTGAACGATTTTTAACCATCAGATATTCATTCGATTTTGCAATAGTCCAATTTACATCTCTATATATTTATATATACATATATGTGTGTATATGTGTGTATATATATATATATATAAAGAAGCATAAAAATTGGAACAGGAAAAATAGTATTTAAATCAGGCTTGTGTGTTAGGTAAGAATTGGACCTTGTCATACTTCTTGAGAATCTTCTGCATAGCAACAGCGTTGACTGTGGCATAGGCCGCAAGATGATTCCCATCTTTTATCAGATTGACCTGGCGGCTTCCGAACTGCAATTTGTTTTTCAGAAACAAAACATACTTTTGCAATCCTGAAGCCAAGTGAAACTCCAGCAACTTTTGGGCACCCTTGTTGAAGTAATTTACAATCTCAAACATGTCCTTGTGCAGGGAAGGGAAGAAAGTTTCATCACATTCTGTACACCAACTCATATATGTCAAGAAAATATATAAGTTAGATCAGTATATATATATATATATATATATATTAATTGATAAGCTACTTGTAATGGCAACGAAGGAAATGTAAAGAAGAACAAAGAAAAAAAACATTTTGATCCTGATACTAGTTTCTTCTTCTTCTTGTCATTTATGTATTAAAAAAAACCAGAATTTATGACATAAATGAAATTATAATTACAGAAAGTAAAATTGTGATGAGAGAGTACAAACGAAATGGAATACTCATATTTACACACATATGCATTTGACATTCGAGATAATTAATAACCTGGACAGTGATAGTGGCAATCACAGACTTGGTTCTTCATCTCACAATTCTTCAGAATTTTCTTGAGCTTCTTTAGTTGAACAACAGGTAGTTCTTCATTTTGTTCCTTCACAAATTCCCTGTATTTACTGGCAAACTTCATCTTCTTCCTCTTTGTCTTGACCTTTCCTTCATCGCTATATTGTTCTTCAGAATTTTCTTGAGCTTCTTTAGTTGAACAACAGGTAGTTCTTCATTTTGTTCCTTCACAAATTCCCTGTATTTACTGGTAAACTTCATCTTCTTCCTCTTTGTCTTGACCTTTCCTTCATCGCTATATTGGTTAAATATATAAAATTGGACAAAGTCCCTCTCTTTTTCATGCATTGCGTAACATATGTTGACATTTTAGCTCATGTCAGATCTAAGGATATACTAAAACATTGAAGTTCCATAGGAGTACAAATATAATTAAGTGTATCCAACTTAAATATTTCGTTGAATTTTTTCTCCTGCACTTCAATATTATTTACGTCGTTTTCATAGTGGCTATATAGTACTATATATTTATGTATGGAGATTTTGCATCGTTAGGCTGTCCACCTATAGCCTTGTTATAAAGCCTGTACCATGTCTTTAATTGAGTGATTGAGTAATTTAGTTGACTTAGCTATTAATTAATTTAAGCCAAATTAAGGTTCGGAAAATCTAGCCATCATTAAAATTATCATTGATTTTTGCTGATTCCCATCTTTGCACTCAGTTAAGCCTTTATCATCCACCAAATAACATGTAACATTAATATAAAATATTAAGTGGCAGCTCACAAAACTTTTATGAATAAACGCTTTATTTAATCACAAAGTGTAATATCAAAGCTTGTCATTAATATAAATTTATCTTTTATGGTGATAGAATTAAAGGTCGTCAATACAAGTATTTTTTGTCAGAAGAAAATCATTTTTTGCGACAAATACTTTTCCAAGAGTGTTTTATTAGCGGATGGAGTACAATTTTTTTTTTTAATTTTTATTTCGTCACGCATATATTTGCTTTCAACCATAAAATTAGGTCCCTGAACTTTTAAAGTAAGTGACTGTTTTGTGGCCAATCTAATTTTATCCGTAAAAAACTCCTTGAATTATATTTTTGTTGGAGTAGTGGTCCAAACTCCAAACTAATCTTTCCTAAAATTTGGATGAAAAATGTCATGTGTAATGCATTCAGTGAAGCAACCGTGTTGACATTATAAGGCCAACATTGATATGCGTATACATACATATATATATATATATATATATATCTTCGTTGGAAAATATTATAAGGTGCGTATAAGTTGACATTTTCTGCTATTTCTAATTGGAGTAACATCTCATATTATGTTCCCTACATAAAATACGTAAGCAAAGGATCCTTTTATATTTTTTGACTTTCTAGATTTTGATTCTTCAACAACATTAGGTGTCTTCCCTTTAAGTCATTGACCATGAACTTTGAGATGCACATATGAATGCATACATATAACAATATTACTAGCTATTGGTGTTCACTAATATGTTATAATATTGTAACTTGTTATTTTGAATACCATATTATTTTAACAGGTAAATTGAGCTTTATTAGTTGCCCTGCAAATACAACTTGTTTTGTGTAGTTTCATAGGGGGAAAAAAAAACCTTGTTTTGTGTAAGCCTATCCCTTAGGCTATTATTTGCACATAAATTAATTACGATAGTCATGATAATATGACATAATATAATATCAAATATTCTTAAAGTATATATATGTATGTATGTATGTATGTATGTATGTGTCGTGTGTATATATATATATATAGAACTATCGTGCAAGTCCTAGTCTGTATATTTAATTTTCTTTCTTGACTTCTTGCATATATGTTTAAGCAATGCAAAAGACAACAAATAAAGTATTTTTAATCTTGCTAATTATAATTTATTTGTAGGTACTTAGACTGAATTTATGGATATTTTCATGTAGAAAACACACTACGAAAAATCAAAATTAAAATACAACAGTCGATTGTTATTGCAGAAACTAATATTAGCAAATAATATGTCCAAGTGGATGTCCTATCTCATGCTTGTTAAATCGTTATCTTTAGTGTTGGAGCTAGCAAATTTTTCAGAGGACGCCTAGATCAAGCCGAAATATTCAGTGAGAAAAACTTACCATGATTGATTATAAAAAACTCGTTGGTCTTGAATCTAATTTTTGAGAGATTTATAGAGATTAAACCCATCTTTTAACTCCAAATCAATACACTCTTCTCTTTTCTTCTTTTAAGTTCTTTATCAAACACTAAATGCTACGAGGAATTCGAAATTGACTCGTGTTTCATAAATGAGAAGGAAGATGACGTTACTTATCTTCCGAAGACGTTACTGTGCATTTATAAAAGTTTTACGAAGAAAATGAAAACAAATATAACCTAAGAATCTCTTTAAATAATTAATGTTACTTAGAAGAATTAATAGGTTGGGTAAGGGGTGGAATATGTCACTCTCTATATATAAAAGGGGCACACACTTTGTAAAGAACTTGGAGCTTTTGGGAAAATAATTAACTTTATAAAAAGCTAGATAAATTAAAGCAATTGTTCGGTCCTATGGAAATCCCTATACTTGATTGATTTAGATACTCAGTTACCAATTAAAGTATAGAAGTTCAAACAGTAAATCAGTCCATATACCAAATCAGAATATCAATGATTCATTAATAGGCTCCCTCATAGATCATGCGAGTGAACAGATTCCTATAGCCAAACGCAAGGGCAGGCAACAGATGAGTACTGCCGATTCTTTTTTTTTTTTTTTTTTTTTTTTTTTTTTTGGCTAATCTGCCGATTCTTTTGCTTTATCTTGCAGCAAATCACTTTATAATTAATTAAAAAGATTACTATGATCTCTCTAAATTTAATGTTCATTAAATATTAATTTTTTTTTTTGGTCAATTTTTCAATTCATTACGCAGATTTCATATTTGTGTAAAACAAAGAATACCCATTGATTAGTACATGTTAGAATTACCATTAAAACACGCATATGTAAGTCAAACCATGAAAAATAAGGGACTCATTGGAGTATGAATTGTTCTAATACCATATTAAAAATTTAAAAAGAAAATAAAAGGAAGAAGAGAACGCAAAGACTGAGGGCCTGTTTGGTATTGTTTTTGGAGGCTACTTTTAGCATTTTTTAAGAAGCTGCAACAGGTCATGGTGTTTGGCAAAACCTGCTTTTGTCCAGCAGCTTTTTCAAACTGTTGCCCCACAACAGAATTTGAGAAGTAGGTCAGGGGTTGCTTTTCGACGGCAACTTCTGTTGTCATTATCCAAATTTACTAAAATGACCATAATAATAAATCTTAATTCCCAATTAACTCATTTTATTTCTTCCAAATTAAATTAAAGAGTATATTTTATTTTAAATGTTTATTTAAAAATAAAAAATCTTTAATAAATATTATATGCTAAATTTTAATAAAATATTTTTATTATAATGTTGCAAGTTTGAAAAATAATTTACTTTAAGTTATTTACGTTATTTAATTTCTTTATAGATATATAATTAATCTCCTTGAATAAAACCAATTTATTTTTTAGAGATATATCTTAATTAATAAAATGAAAATTAATTTTTTTAGTATTTGATGTATAAATATTATGAATATTGACTATAAAAATAGAAATAAATTTAATTATAAGTACGTGTGTTAAAGTATGTCTATTTTAGTCATTATACATCTTTACAATAATTTTGTACGTAGTTTACTAAACACCTAAATTTCTGCTTCTAGTACTCACAGCAATTTTGAAAAAAACTTTACCAAACACCTATATGTTTTCGATCACAGCAACTTCTGACTAACAGTACAACAACATCAGAAATTTTCAACAGCACAACAATGTTAAATTGACCCTCAATATTTTTCAATATTGTCCGGACATTCATGAACTAATTAGAAAATAGAGAGAATTCACCGGTCATGAGCACTATGATTAGCTCCATATAGTAAGTTACCAAAGATTATTAAGTCTTCCTAAATAAGAAATATACTAATTTGAAAATGACTACAAATAAAGTGAAGAGTACTACTAAGAGAAGTAGCTATATATACAAATCCTAATACTAAAAAGCCCTTTAAGTTCGAGCATTCTGTCAAAATAACCCCCCTTAATTAATTTTCCCAAAACTTTACTCTTGTGTGTCCATAATGATGTACATAGAACTGTTTAAAAGTAAGAACACAATTTGATCATATTTGTTACCGAAAACCTAATGTTTTCCCCGCTAAAGAATTTTGGGTGATTAGGATTTTTAGGTGATTTTATACGCTACTTTTTTTATTTTTTTTTTATTTTTTATTTTCTTTTAAGCAAACAAAAGATAAACGTGCCACTTTTTTATTTTTATTTTTATTTTTTAAACTACAAGAAAATAAGCAAATAAAACAAAAACAAAGATTTCAATCTGCGCCCAGATCACTGCTGCACGATCTGGGTAACCATATGTGTGTCTATATATATATCCTAGGGTGATTATGAGTTAAAATATTAAATAAGAACACTTACTCGTAGTAGTTTATTAGAAAGCTATGGGGGCAATAAACAAATAATATTTTATCGAATATTCCAAACGAAACAAGATTCGTGGGATCGTAGGCTTCTTATATATATAATTTATCAGTTAGCTAATCAGAAATTCCCCTATACCTAAATAAAAAAATAAAAAAGAAGTAGATTTCCCTACCCCTTCTCAAGCCATGTATATATCTTAATATGATCCTAATTAAGTTTCGATCTTCAGTGCACAAGAAATGACAATATTAGTACTTTCAAACTTAAGGGATGTTAACATTTATTTCCATGTCATTTAGTTACAGAATTTTGTTATAGAAATTCGTGTTGAGAAAAGTGTATGCGTGTTGTCTCACGTAGAAAGTATATGAGAATGTAAAGTAATTTATATATGTGGAAGGATTTTAGACTCAATAAGTTAACTTTTTGAGTCAAGTTGGGCAATGTGTTGAGTCAGTTTCGCATGTGAAGTCTCCCTAATAAGTGGTATCATAGCTGGTGGTTCGTATGGGTCAAGAGATAACATTTGGTTGGTGTTCTCGCAGTTGGTGTTGTTGCAGGTGCGGATGGTAGAGCATTTGGTGGACTCGCATGATTTCTGCTCTCTTTTTCATGCTTTAGTTGGCTCCCGTTTGGAGTGTGATGCTGGATGTGCCGGCTACAAGAAACTTTAGTTTAAGGGGGAGCTCACTGAACACACACATGAGGGAGAGGTTGTTAGAAAAATACATGTGTGTGTTGTCTCATATGAAAAATAAATGAGAATGTAAAGTGATTTATATACATATAAAGACTCTAAACTAATAGATTAACCTTTTGAATCAAGTTGAGTTTTTAAAATGTGTTAGGTCAGTTTTGGTCTCCCTAACAATTGGTGTGTCTAGCATTTTTCATTCCAAGTATATGTTTCAATATATTGTTAATTTGTTTGGCATGTTGATGTTGTTTGTGCATGTATTATTAATTAAGTAGTGACACACATGATTATATATGCTGAAGAATAGAGAAAGATCATTCTCTTTCTTTTTTCGTTGTCACAGAACATGAGGTTGAACTTCTCAAACCCATATGAGGAGAGATCTGATATATAAAAATAGTAACCACTCTTTCATTGTAAAATTTAAGGTTTGTTTCCCTTGTGAATTATTTGTAATATTGGCATTGTTCATTGCACCGATTCGAGTTTAGAATTTGAGTTTTGTTACAATAAAAAGCTCTTAGAAATAGTCACATCTTTTTTTTTTTTTTTGCTACAGTAAAAAGCTCTCACATAAAGTCACATCTCAACTCGAACTAAAAACTCGAATCAGCGAACTAAACGGCCCTTAATTTACAAACAACTCAACCTTCTAAAACAACTTACAAGGTCAAAAGAATATTTATGTGTTTTACTTTTGGACAGCTTTTTAAAGATATCTCTTAAAATGAAGTTTCTTTTTGTTTTTATCTTTTAAAATTAATTTATATATTTTTACTTTTTAAATTAAAACTAGTTAAAGAATAGATTTTTTAAAAAAAATTAGTCAAAAAGTATAGTTTTTTAAAAAATATACTTTTGGTAAGTTAAGTACTTAAAAAAATAAAATTTGTACCATTTTTCACTCTTTAAAATGAAAGTTACAACTACTCCACATCGCATCTTTCATCCCAAAATCACGAATAGTCGCCCAAAAGAAAAAAATGAAAAATAAATTAGGAAGACAGCCAATAGTTAAAGATCAAGAGATAAATGGAAATAATAATATTGGAACCATGCAATATATTGCAAGTTTTAAACCAACAAAATATTTTCACATCAAACAGGGGACCCACATACTCTATATTACATAACAGTTTTATAATAATACAGCGGGCTCCATATCTGATTCCGAATTGCGGTTTCAAATTTTCTCTTCCCAAGTTGAAAATAAAATTAGAAAAAACCAATAATATTAATGATACATTTTTTTTCTCTCAACATTTATAGCCCACTAGAGCCAATCAACTTTGTTAAGCCAAAGGTTATAGCCATAGCCAGCCAACCTCCGACCAAAACCCTCGCCGCCGATCTCACCGACGGCGACTTCCCCAACACGGCCCCCAACCACCCGAACACCACCAAAGCCAAGGTCACCGCCGCCGCCACAACCCCAAGTCTTACCCTGTATTCCTTAATAAACGAGGCAGCGAGCAGCGGCACAATCGCGCCCACTGAGAACGCCAGCGCCGAAGCCGCCGCGGCCTGAAGCGGATTTGGCAAGTCCTTCTCTCCCTGCGCGTCTTCGATTATTTCTGCTGCTGGGCCTGATCTCTCTCTCTTCATTTGGGCAATTTCTATGTCAAGCTGGGAATAGACAGACACAAACTCGCCGATGGCCATGCTGCAAGCCCCGGCTACAAGACCGGCAAAACCGGTGAGAATCATGACCTTGATGTCCTGCTTGACGGCTCCGACGCCCATCATTAAGGACGCCGTCGAGACTAAGCCGTCGTTTGCGCCGAGGACGGCTGCTCGCAGCCATTGGGAGCGTTTGGAGTAGTCGAACGTCTCTTTGGTTTCAAGGCCTAGTTGTGTCGTTTGCTGTTGCTCAAGGTCGTATTTGGCGTCGTTTAGAGATGTGTTGTTGGACGCCATGGGAATTGAAGAATAGTGAGAAGAGTTTAATTAAGAGGAAGTAGATGGAGTTTTTTGTGGAGGAGTGTGTTGAACACACACCCCTTACAAGGCTATTTATGGACTAAGGTGCTCAGGTTTGGAGGACAAAGGTGGGGTATGCACACTAATGGATATATATATATATATATATATATACACACACACACACATACACACACACACACACACACACACATATATACACACACATATGTAAATCTGACCAAATTTGATACTTGTAGTATTTTTGTTTAACATCATTCATATATTTGTGTAACAGAACTTGTTTAATTGTAACACTCAATATTTTAAGCCTTAGATTATATTTATTATGTTACACAAAAATAAATTAAGTGTTACATAAGCGTAAAAACTTTATTGCAAATTAAGTGCCTGGCTGATCGGGGCGATTGCAGTAGACATTTTCTATATATATATATATATATATATATATATATATATGTGTGTGTCTGTGTGTGTGTGTCTGTGTGTGTGTCTGTGTGTATGTTTACATATTATTTCACAGAGTGCGTATGTGGTATATACTTTGATCAAGCATGTGTGACAGTGTGTGAGAGAGATATATCTTTTTTTTTTCCTCAACTAGAGATATATGTATTGGACAGGTATGATAATGCTCATTTGTAAATGCCATGGTGGTCAAACGGCCATTGGTATTTGGTTCATATACATTAGTGGTAAAGTGGTCGTATTTTAATATATGGATAAAGTTTCTCATGCACTTTAGGTTAAGCTTATTACAGTTATGTCCACTTGTATATTTAAGCGACTTGAAAGATAAAACTAATAATCTACATCTTTTTTTAATAAAGCCAAAAAAGAAGCAGTGATTAGACTTTTTTTTTCCCTTCCTGTTCTTTCTTTTCTCCTTTATGTCCTCCAAGAAAGTTAAAGAATAAATGGGTAGTCTAATTGGCATTAAGGCTTAGATAACAAAGATTTTTAATGTAATTGTTACTAGCAATGTTGTGTATGACTTATTAATTGGTATAATATTTCTATCTTTATACCCATAATTCTCGAAATGATTGTAAAGAAGAGCGAATGAATTGTTTAGAACCCGTCGAATTGATCATATTTAGCAGCAATATCGACAATAACAATAAAAATATTGATGATAATATTAGTATCATTTTTTTTTTTTTGCGGAGTTGTTTTGTGAACCTTATATAATTCTGGGTTTTTTTTTTTTTTTTGGTCAAGGATTTGATGGAGGCTCTATAGAACTGGATACAAACCTAGTTGGATATGTTAGTTTTTCTTCGAATCAGTTAATGTTTCTTTTCAATTCAAAAAAAAAAAAAAAAAAAAAAACTATTTGATAATATTATCATTTTTCTTTTTATATATGACAGAAAAATCTAGTTGGGATGTGTATCGTTTTGATTAAGTATGAGTTAAACATTCGGAAAAACCGATTAACTATTTCTGCAGATAGACACAAATATTGCTGACTGTGCTGTCCACCTTACAGAAGGTTAGCATAATGATCTGGTTGTGTGGCCAGTAATTAATAAACTATTTTTTCTACCAATTCACTAATTAATTTAGTGAGTTAATTAACAAATGCAAGTACCCTAAAAAGTAATAATAACAAATGCAATTTCTCAACGAGCTAGACTAGAGTACTCATATTGAATTGTCCAAAAGTACAACGTACAACACTTGAATATGGAAGATCAGAAAGATGAAAAAGAAAATGAAGATTTTCCAAGAAACAAAAAAGACAATACTTGAATATGGAAAATGGGAGAGATTATTATAAAAAAAAAAAAAAAAAAAAGAATAGAAAATTTCGCAAGAAACAAAAAAGACAAAATATAATCCTAAAGGATTCCACAATTTTATGGCCAAAGTGAACAAGAAAGGAAGAGACGTACGTGCTTTTAGGAAGTTATACCGGATTCCAATAATTTCACGACTAAAGTGTGAATCCCTCCCAAGAAGACAAAACTTGAAAAGAAATTTCGATGGAATATGTATCATTTCTTTCATGGAAATAACGTATGCCTTTTGGGTTATTCATTTCCTTTGCGTTATCACATTTTTGATACTCAATTCCGTAGCTAGCCCTTTAGGCACTTTTTTTATTTTTTATTTTTATTTTGAGAATTAGGCACTAGTCATGTTCAGACGTTGGTTAAGATGTTGTGGTGTCACTCTATTAATATTTCACATTAGAGCTTTCTCTCTCTCTCTCTCTCTCTCTCTCTCTCTCTCTCTCTCTCTCTCTCTCTCATGCATTTACATTAATATGGCATACATATACGGTAAAAAATGGCTTCAAAAAGGTCATAGTGGCAATATATATACCATTACTTTGGTACACTGTAATTTTTTTGTTTTTTTTTTTAGACAGTCTAGAAGCTAATTGGTACAAGCTAGCCTCCTATTAGAACATCCCACGTTATACGTTTGATAAAAGTTGCTTTTCTCTCATCGTTTTTCAAAAATAATAATGATGATAATAATAACAACTTAGTGCTAGCTTCAACGTTGTGAGCTTAAAACTTTTCTATGTTATATATAGCTGGGACACTGGAGTTATATATACACTTTTTAGTTTTTAATTCATTCAATTTATACCCTTGGCAAGACCTTAACCATTGTGCATATTAGGAAAGAAAATTATGGTTTTTTTACCACTGTCGATCCACTGAAATCAGCTGGTTGGTATAACTTTTGTCATCTTTATACAGTACTACACGGTCAGCGAAGATTTGTTCCAGCCAAAAGAAGTACGAGGTTTGGCGGAAGCATGACCGCTTGTTATATATCTGTTCAGTATACTTGTATATATAAGTATTTGTCTATATGTATGTATGGATTGGTCCAAGGAATTCTGAAAAGGGAGTACTCATGCACGTACGCTTAAGAAACGTTATTATAATAACGAAAAATCTTTTGAAACTCCCTCTTAAGTATATCTCTACTTCTCTCCATTTATTATTATTAATCTTAAACATGAAAAAGTTATATAAAGAGCGCAACTAAGGCTAATTTTTAATGTCATTTTGCTGATAATTAGTGATCATATTTATGCAATATTTCAGGAAAGATTAATTATCTTAAGTACATAGATCGATAGAGTTTAGTTGTTAGCCATTTACAACTTTCATTATACATGACGTGTGTATTTTACACATAAGATGTCCAAGTGCATTACATATGCGGAATGCGCGTATGTATATAGGTAGGGTTTCGGTGTTTCATTCATATATATAAGAGGCGACACATATACAAAAACCATGCAGGTATATTTAGCACTGTGCTCATGATTAAATAATTGGGTCTATCTAACAAATAAATTATAAACATATACATATATCCGTGTATATATATATATATATATATATTTGAAATAATCTCAAAAATGGCCTCAAACTTTCCGGGTCCATTTAATTTGATCAATATGCGCCACATAATTAATTCAGTAGCTTTGATGTAATTATGACCTGACCGGCCCTTACAAATCACTTTCACACGTCTCTTGTAAAGTATCTACAACATACAAATAAAAGAAAGTCCATTCGCCAAATACATGGATTCTGAAGAGGAAAGCACTAAGTGGGTGCCGATAGAGAGGAAGAGTGGGATTGGGATAATATAAGAAAATGGAAGGGAGTGTGCATTCCATACGAATGCCACCAACTAGCATTATCTCATTTGGTCATCAACAAAACATAAAATTAAAGTCGTTTATGTTTTCTCTCTTTTCTCCTTTCTTTTTGACTTTCCACTAAAGTCGACCATCATTGGTTTCCAACTTTTCTCGTGAGGGAGAAAATGGGCTTTTAAAATAATGCAGTTCTCAAGTATGAAATGGATCTTTTTCGTACGTATTGATCAAATACTGTAGTGAGCCAGGGCGAGAAAACATACACATATGCACATCTATATATGTATATAGTATATGGAAACACATACTTTTAGTAACTATATATGTCACAACCCGCCACAGCCAACTACTATGTTAGGCCGGTGATGAATCATAATAGAAAAATATGATGCACATACATACAAATATATAACATAGTCATAATAATGCAGAATATTTAAACTTTTAAAAACTTATAAATTCTTAATCAAAACATGAAAATTCTAAAATTGGAAAAGAAAAAGGTGCTTGGAATGGGTTCTTTAATTAAAAACATAACTTTGCAGAAAACATATCGAAGCCATAAGGCCAACTCTGAAAAATTAATATCAAAGTTTGACCATTACAAATCTTATCTCGATATGCACATTCACTTCGATCTTATCTTGATTTTCTTTCCTTTTTCCTGCAACACAAGGAATCTTAGTGAGCTAAGAAGCTCAATAAGCGAGTAGACTAGCTACGCTAAATATGGATGCAATGCAACACAATAATTTCTTAGCAGAAAAGAGACATGAACATAAATGTAGACATAAGTGATATTACTTTGAATACCTAATTTAAGTACTCATAATTTTTCTCAATATACGTAGTCAAATAATTCATAATTTTTACCAACCGATGAGTAATCATAATATGACATGCTTCGTACTAACTCCTAACATGTTTCATAGAGGAGTGTATTATACTCAAATATTCATAAACTTATCATATTAAATATTCATGTTATCAGTTGACTATTACTTTAACTTTCATAACTCATATTCAAACGTATGGAAATCATAATCTTAACGTATCATAATCATAATTATGAGATATCATAAATCATAATCTTAACATACCATAATCATAATCATAAGTCTTAATTTTAACATACTATAACCATAATCATACCATACCATATATCATAATCTTAACATACCATTACCATAAGCATACCATATCATAAATCTTAACAATTTCTTGCCGTAACCGAAGCCTTCTCAAGTAGTCACATACTCTTATAAGCACAATCGTGCATATGATTTAAACAAGAATAACATGTTGATAGTAACTAAAATCTCAAACACATAAATACCCATAATAATTATCGTACCCATATTTGCCTTCTTATTACGGGTTCACAACAACCAAGAAGACATTAGAAAATAACACAATCACAGTATTAATCTCATGTTCCCATTTAACATGATCATAAT